GAGGGGGGAGCGGGGAGGGAGGGGAAAAATGAGGACCTAATGTCGGGGGTTTAAGTGGAGAGAAAATATTTTGAGAATGTTGTACAAATGCGCTTTACACAATTGATGTGTGTATGGATTGGGATAACAGTTGTATGAGCCCCTAATAAAATGTTTAAAAAAAGAAGAGCAATGGAAAATGAATGAATGAGTATTATGGTGTCAGCCACGAATGTGAAAATACAGCGATCAGCCAGAAGAGCAAAGATCTGTCTTGGAAGAAAGACAACCAAAATTGTCCTTAAGACAAGGATGGCAAGAATGTATGTGGTGCATTTTGAACCTGTTGTCATGAGTGACCAGCCCATGGAGAAGGACATCGTGCTTGAAAGCGGGTCAGCACAAAAGAGCAAGACCCTTGAGGAGATGGATTGACACCGTTGCTACAATGAGCTCAAACAGAGCAATGGTTGTGGGGATACCACGGTATTAGTCGACGTTTCTCCCTGTCATACAAAGGGTCCCTGTGACTTGGAAGTTGACTTATACTGTAAAATAAATACATAAATAAACAAATACCTGCTATCCAGTCGATTGACGCACAGTGACCCTATAGGACAGGGTAAAAGTGCTCTTGTGGGTTTCCAAGGCTGTAACTCTTTAAGGGAGGAGAAAATCTCTGTCTTTCTCTTGAGTAATAGCTCGTGGTTTCAGACTGCTGGTCTTGTGACTAGAGCCCAATGTGTGACCACTGCCCCCCGCCAAGGGGTGCCTCAAAAATCCATACAGTGCATCATAAATAGTTTGTTGGGGTTCTTTTAATGATGAAACGGTATTGGATGGGGAGCCTTAGATTCGGGCCGGCAATGGTTGAGTGGAATATCAGAGTGCATAGAGCCTCTGTCTCAGTTAGGAGGGAGCTCGATGGTGATGATGTAGCACGTGTTCCTTTTCTTTAAACCATTTTATTGTGAGCTAACACAGACATCATATCATACCACAGTTCCATCACATCAAGCAGTATGGTACAATTGCTACCACAATCAGCTTCAAAATACTCTCTTCTTTCTTGAACTCCTTGATATCAGCTCCACATAAAATGTGTTTCTTAATGTAGTTAGAATTCAACGTTTTCCACATTGCCTTACAGAACATTATTCATTACTTCCTCAAGCTTCACTCTTTTTTTAAATCGGAGATTTCAAAGTCTAGGATCACTGCAGCCCCTCTCTGTTTGTGTCTTTTTGCAAATTGTGTAGCAGTTGGTCTAGTGACTCATTAGAGAGCCCCTTCCCTTTCCCCCATGCCCCTCCTTCTCCTCACCTCTCCTCCCTTTCAGAATCTCCTCATTTGGACCTTCTGGCAGCCTCGGGCAAGGTGCAGCTGTTGCAGGTGCAGCATTTTATGAGGCCTGCCTTCATCGGCATCTCTGTTACGCTGAGACATCGTTCTTTCATGGAGATCACAAAGCAGGAGTTCCAGGGTACAAAGGAAATGTTTCCCCTTCTCTCAGTCTCCTCCCAATGAAACTCACTGTGGCTCTCCTGCGGTTGTTGCTTTACTAGCTCTTTACCTTTGGATGGAGAGAAGATATTCGACCTGGTGAGCCCTTACACACCCGAAAATTCTGCTTCGATGCGATCTCCCACAGCAGCCCGGTCACGCTGTATGACTGCCACGGCATGAAAGGAAACCAGCTCTGGGGATACCGCCAGGTAAGAGTCGGTGTGTCGTGGTCTTTCTCTCGCTGCTACCATGAAAGTACTCTAACTCACAGTCTCGAAAAACACTGTGGATGTAAAATTCTTCCTGCGTGTACACATACGTGTCTGGAGACTACCAGCAAAGATGATAGTACAGACTTAGTATGTAGGCAGACAGAATGCTACTGACCATATGTGTGTGTGTGTGTGTCATCCATCACAATGATTTATGATGGAAAAGTAAACTGGAGCCAGACCACTAACATCACAAAGGAAGACACTCACCTTAGCCCAGACAATTCCCAAACAGAGGGAACAATCTATCCAATAAGGAAATATACATACATGTAATTTTAAGAACCTCATTTATCTCCCTCCTTCCCTACCCTATCCCCACCCCCAGACACAGACATGCACACACGAACACATTTATGCAGTCATTGTATATCTCAGGCATACCTGTTTGGGAGTTATGTAGGTTAACACAATTATATTGACACAAATATGTGTACATCTATGAAGATCTAATTGAGGAGCCTGGGTGGTACAATGGGTGATACAGTTAGGCTGCTAACCGCAAGGTCAGAGGTTAGAAAGCACCAGAGGACCTAAAGGAGAAAGATGAAGTTTTCTACTCCACTAAAGATGTTAGGGTCTTTGAAACCCACAGGGACTGTTCTCTTCTGTCCTAGGGTCGCTGTGAATTGTAATCCACTTAAGGGCAGTGAATGAATATAAGTAGCCCTTTTGCAATTTCACATGTGCTGAGTATAGAAAAGGAAACCTTAACTTAAGGTGTTTAAAAGTTTTAAAAGTAAAATAATAAATGAATAAAAGTTTTAAAAATAAATAGTGAAAGGGGGAACCGATTACATATAACCTCCTCCCTGGGGGATGAACAACAGAAAAGTGGGTGAAGGGAGACGGCAGACAGTGTAAGATATGACAAAATAATAATAATTTATAAATTATCAAGGGTTCATGAGGGAGAGGGGAATGAGGAGAGTGGGTGAAAATGAGGAGCTGATACCAATGGCTCAAGCAGAAAGCAAATGTTTTGAGAATGATGATGGCAACAAATGTACAAATGTGCTTGATACAATGGATGGATGTATGGATTATGATAAGAGTTGTATGAGCCCCCAATAGAATGACTAAAAATAATAATAAAAATAAACAGTGATTGGAGGATGATAGTTTAAAAACAAATACAAAATTTCATTTTGTTGAGTTAAAAAACTGAAGAGAAATTATGTTATTGATTTAAAAAATATTCATTATGTTCTCCTTTGATAACTTTGTCGGAATTATATTATTGATTTAAAATACATTCATTATGTTCTCCTTTGGTAACTTTGTAGGATGTTATGCAAAGTTGGGTGGGTGTTTTTTTGCTTGGTTTGGGGTTTTTTGCTTTGTTTCTTCCAATGTCTTTGCTTCTGAAGGCAGGGCTGGCTAGTCAGTCAGTAAATTAGCTAGTCCTCCATAAACTGTACCCTCAGAACTAAAGAACTGCGGGGAGCTTCCCAGCATGGTGGACGGTGCTGTCTATGTCTGCCTCTCTGCACTCCAGGAGAATCCAGTCTGACCTCAGGCTGCCGGGAAAATGTCACACCTGCCATTCTAATCACAAGCCTGCTTATCCAGTGGGTGGGGCTAAAATTCGGGAAAGCAGAAGGGGAAAGCTATGAAGAATCAGGTTAGGGGCCACTCGCTAACTTCATAAACTTCCTAATCCACCCATTAGGGCACTTACAACTCTATTGAAATGTAGGCTTGTTTGTACAAGTTTATTCTGTATACCTTGTCCCCAACATCTGGCAAATCATGATTATGTGTCTATAAAAAAGTACATCAGTGGTTGTATCCTGCTGTGATACAATTTTAAAATCAAAGGAGATAATACAAAGATAGCATTCATGAGCCTAAGGCGGGGAGACCACTGGGGTACAAACACCCCACTGTTTCCCTTATGCAATGTATAATAAACGTGTAATCCTGTCTGTGTGTGGTGCAATAAGATAGGTTTTTGTTGTTGTTGTTTTAGTGGTTAGATCCTGACCTTTAAGAAGTGACTTTCTGGACACATCAATAAAAAGCCTGCCTTGCCACTTGCCCAGTGTACTGGTGGTCCCTAATGAACAGTCCAGGCCTCGTTCCTATGCATTTATAGCATGAGAGACGGGACACGCAATACTACGCAATTAAGCCAAGAAAATATACTTGTTTTCATTAGGGAACTTGCAAAAGCTTACAGATGGATAAAACCAGCCAATGCACCGTGCACACACAGCTCCTGGGGAGACAAGGTGGTGAAAAACAAAACAGGTCGCAGTGATTGGAGCAGTCACTCTTACAAGCGCTACCACGCGCCTGCCTCCTCACCTCGCTGGCGCCCCAGGGACTGCCGAAAGTGAAGCGCTAGCTGCCATTGGGCTGTGGTCCTCGCCGAGCTTTCCGCTGCCATTGGCTTTGCATCGCTTAGCTAAGGTTACCCGCGCTGTGTATTTGTACAAGCAGGTACTTCTACTTGATCAGGAACATGCCAAAGGCTCAATAGGGAAATTTTCGGATATTTGTCATCGTGGTTAATGACTCAAGTCTGCTCAAATAGACCTGCTTGGAAGGCTCCTTTGGTTTCTTTCCGGGGCTAAGCCCCAGGCGTGACCAGTGGAAGCGCACGCGCAGGTGCTACCTTATTTAGACGCCCTTATGTCTATTTAGATGTACTGCTTGGCCCTGGGGGCTCCCAGTGCTTAACCGTCTTTTGAGTTTGCTTTAGAGCGAACTCCCCGTTTGATTAGCATATTCATGAGCTTGCCTGACTCTGTTAGAAGCTACTAATTGCCTAAAGGGCCTCGATGGGCCTCCTCCTAAGCTCCACACTTACAGTGTAATCATCGTCATCATCACCTCCCACTGTTCCGGTGGAATTGAGCTATTCCCTCAAAGGCATGGCACCGTCAGGCATGCTTCCCCGGCACATTGATAGGGCGACTAGAGGCAGCGCCAACTTGGATGAATAGATTTGAACGTCTCTGCTCTTTCCTCTGCCATGCCTTTCCTATGTCAGCTCAAGATTCCCAGAGCGAATGGCCCTAATTCCTGCTGGGCTCAATGCCAGGATGCCACCCACTCTGCTCCCAGCGAGGTGAGAGCCCTTGGACGCGGAAGGCGGCCTGACGCTGCCTTTCTCAAGTAGGTGCAAGTTGTTTCAGACCCACTTTCTGACCCAACTTCGTCCTCCGCAGATCTCAGCTCTCGGTTATTTTTAGACCTAACTCTTTACCGACACACAGAAAAGACAGGACTCTCCACGGTACGGTCTTGTTTATGGGCTGTGGTGTTTTACCCTCCAGTAGCAGCTAGATGCCCAGAAGGCCCAATCGCTTTGTTGGTCTCCTTTCACCACCAGGGGGAGCTCTGTGACAAGGACAGTGATTTGTGGGCGACGCCTCAGGAAAACTGTCAACTATCACCCAACATCTGGAAAAATCTTGACTTGCCACTCTTCTTTAACTGCCACAAATAACTGGCACCAAGAATGGTGCTCTCCTCCTCCACCACCACCACCTATAAAATCCATTCCCTACTTGCCGTTTGTATAGCCCGTGCTGTTAGAATAGCTTCACAAAGGTCCTTTCCCTCCCCAACCCAAACTGGATTCTGAAGCCAAAGGGAATGTTCTACATTATCTTGTCGCTGAATTCTTCTGTTTTCAAGCGTCACGTGGTAGCTTGTCAGTAGAACATAAAGTGCATCCCCTTCCCCCTTCTCAACCTAACTCTTCAAAATCAGGTCAGCACAATGGCTCTCTGCCAGGCTTAGAATTAGCCAGACCTGTAGTTGTGTGCCAACAAGTGGATTCTGACGCAGCAGCCTTCTATAACAAAGTAGAACTGCCCCATCGGCTTCCTTAACCTGCGAGCTTTCCAGGAACAGACGGGCAGCTCTTTGTTTCTCAATGTGTGCGAGTTCAAACCACCCAGTTGGGCTAGCAGCAGAGTGCTTAACCACTGTACCCCGAGGGTTCCTGTAGGCAACCCCAATCTATCCTAGTTCATCCTGGAATTGTAATGTGATCTTCAATAAATTATCTCGCGGACATGATATTATTTTCTCACTAGTACAATAGGGAGGATAATTAAATAAGATAAGACGTGTACAGAGAAATCCGGTTGTAATGTATTCCAGCAGTTGGCATGGTCAGAGTCTATTTCTTTCCTTTCTTCCTTTCCGTGTCTGACATTTTTACTCTGTGCTGGCAGAATGACGTCATCTGCATCGACTTTGACTATGTTCTCTGTGAGTTACTTGTTTGAATCTTGACTAAACACCGTAGTCTTTTTCTTACACATTTTGAGTTTTTGTAGTTTCGGTAGAAACACTTTGTCGTATACATGTATGACTAACATTTTCATCTCTCCGTCCAGTCAGGGACTTGCTTGCCTTTTCTCTCTCTTGTGGAGGATCTTGATGCAGAGCTATCTTTACATCCAAGGTTTTATGGCCTGTTAAGAAATCTTTCTTGCACTAAGGTCATAAAGATCGTCTTCTAAATTATCTTCTGAAAACTTTGTTGTTGAACATTCCCCAATGAGTGTACAATTCCCCTGAAATGTTTTTATTATACATTCTTAGAAAAGTTTTTTTCAAATATTTTATCCAATGGACTGGTCCTCAGATATTGAAATGATTGTTTTCCCCTTGGCACTGAAATGGCATTTTTGTTATATGCCAAGTGACCTTATACAAGTACGCACAGATCTGTTTATGAGCAGTCTATTTTTCATCATTTTTTGTCTATTGTCTATTGTTCCTGTAATACCCTGAATGAATAACTTTACCTTTATAACATTTTATATTGATTTTTCTCACTTTAAGTATTTTCTTGGTTATTCTGGATTCTTTCATTTTCATATAAATTTTAAAATCAGTTTATTAATTTCTGCAAATAAACCTGAAGAGGTTTTATTGATTTTTGTATTGAATGTGTTAATCAATTTTAAAAC